TAAAAAAAAAAAATATATATATATATATTGGGATATTTTTTGTGAAAAAAATCTAAATCTCATTGGGAATGAGACCAAAAATTAATGTGACCCCAGGTATCTAGGCGATAAAATCCCTGAATACGTTATTGCAAGCCAGGAGTCTTCCTAGCCCACCTTTTCAAACAGCAATCAGAAGGAAAGGGTCTGTTTGCTTTTCTGATTTTATCGCAGTTAATTTGTCAGAAATGATAAATGCGCCAAAATAAATACAAAATAAATTTAATATAAATGTAATGGTTTTCGTATGGGTGTGCCAACATTTGGTTTATATCCACGTACAGGTATCTTGTTCAGTAGTTATATAAAACATACATTATTTACTTTGGAAAAACAAATTAGGCTGCTTGTCGTACATACATTAAATGTTGTCAGGTTTGTAAGATTTGTCAAACACATCTGTACTGAAAGGTTTCGGAAAGGTTTGCCAATTTTCAATCTCCTCACCTGAAATGTAGACATTCGACTACATACTGTGTCTGGATTGCTATGATTCCTGCCTCAGTCTTTTGATAAAGGTTAAAGATTGAATACTTTCGTCATGCTGTGGAGCTAATTATTCCCTTATTCACAGAAAGTGTATAAATATATATATTACTATTTCATGCAGCATTGAACTGGAGTCGCATCGACTTATCTGATTTGAATCAATGAATAATTATGTCTGATTTCATCATGTATTATTCCATGTCTGATGGGAGAAAAAAATGTAAATATAAAGCAATTGGTCAAGGTTGCAGCTGGAGGTCAAAGGTCATATTGCTGTGATGCTTGTCTGAACTGTAACTGCTGAAGGTCAAGGACAATTAGTCGGGAAACATGGATGAAAGTTTAAAATCATACTCCTTCTGTATGGTTAACTCATATTCAACCATGAAATTTCTTAATGAAATATTCCAGCCTTTGAATTGGATGAGTTCAAATGTGTCTTCAGGGGTGAATGTATGAGAGATTTTAGATAATTTGGTATAGAGTTTCCTAAAGGGTCCAGGCAGCTAGCTGATATAGGTAGATAGAGGACACAGTGCATAAGAAAACCACAATGTAGTAGAGACATGAAGGAATAAAGATATTTTTTTTAAATCCTTCATTGCTGCTTATCTATCTGTTCTCATTTATTTTTCTCATTTAATATGCATTACATATTTAACAAACCAAGACATATAGGTAAAGAGCTAAGCAGGTCCCTGGGGCTCATATTTTACTTTTGAAGTGTTCAAATCTGCACTATTCCCTACATATTAGTTTTTGTTCAAACATTTTTAGAATACAAGGTAAATGGACTGGTTCTTAGATTGTGAAGTGCTCGACTTCATATTGAAGAGAAATTTTGATTTTCTTAGTTTGAGTAAACAACTGAACATACAGATTGTAAAGGTATTGTTGGTATAGGATTAGAAATAAATAAAATTCATCAAATCAATATACATTAATGTACCTGTCAGACAGGTGCCGCTAACGGCTTTATTTTATTGGTATACAGGTAGGTGTTAAAACTCCCACAACACTTAAAGCTTGGTCCTACACAATCAACAGAATGGCGTGATTTGAATTGCTTGTACAATAGGTGTTTGTGTAAATGTTTAGCTTCGACCTGTGATTTTGGTATACAAACAGTTAACACACACAATGTTTATGTATTGGATCAGAAATCGCAACTTGTCTGTATCTAGCTTCCTAATCTTAGTCACACACCAATGTCCAATTTAATTGATGATATTTCAATAACTATTCATAACTATTTATAAATAAGTCCATCTAGAATTAATATGACCATCAGCAGGAAAAAGTGTCTTTCATTTTCCTTTCTTTTTCGGCAGTGAAATTGATCACATGCAGGCACATCTGTTTATCATGTTGTCAGAATAATGTGATCCGATCCGGTTGATGCCATGTCACTGTACATGTGCTCAGGTGATGATCACCATTTTAGGAAGAGCTCTTTATTGTCGTTTTTGCTGTAGACATCGTACTCATTTGAACTGACAAAATGAAACAAATCCTATTATTGTAGAATTATTAATGTACTTTATGGAGATTTGTCTACTCTTGATCGGGATGGTCAAAGGTTTAAATGGCTACACTGTGTCATGTTGCAATTTCATCTTCTGTCATCATATAAGTACAGTCAAACCTGTATAAAGAGACCACCTATCATCTTGTGAGAGTCCAGAATGTGGTCTTTTAACACAGGTAATACAGGTGGGGAATACGGTGGCTGAGCGGTTAAGATGTCTGACCGTCTACGACCACCACTGGGTTGCAGGTTTGAGACCCTAGGTGGGGCAGTGCTAGGTTCTGGCCACAGGTCTGTAGTTTTTCTTAGGGCACTCCGGTTTTTCTCTATCACCAAAACCCTGGCTAGTTCTTATATTTAAATGACTATGGCTGCTGATAGAATGTCAGAAACAAATCAAACCAAACCATAATACAGGTCCTTGTTACGTCAATGGGGAACATTAGAAGTGGTCTTTTAGCACAGGTGGTCGGTTAGCAGGTTAAAGATGCAGTCGAATGAGCAGGTTTGACTGTAGTAATATCTTGTTTTGTTTGGTAGATACAATATCTTTAGGATGGATTGAATCGCTGCATGAGACTAAATGAAGTCATATTACACTACCCTTGATGATATCACAAAATTATATTGGTTCAGAAATTTGTTAAAAAGTTAATAGTGGTCCTTGGGTATATTATGCATAAATGATAAAGCCTGACGGAAACTTTTTACTTTTGCAACATTTTCAAGTACAGTCATTTTTTTATTGAAATAACAAAAATATGCAAGCAGTTCGGAAATAATTGAAGTTTTCTTTTGTGTAGTAAAATTTCTCAAAATGTTTTTATAATAGTTTTCAGAGGTTTGGCTATTCGCAACTATTTTTCTTTAATAACTGTGATACACGATCCATCAATGGAACTTGTCTTGATCTCCAAAGGACTTAACCATGGGTATCCAGCAGAGACTTACAATTAGGCAGGACGCTCCTTTTAGAAAAATATTTAATAGCCGAAGGCATCAATAAAAACTATCTTAAAAGGATATGTTTTCACAGTTGGGCCGGACGTTTCAACAGAACAAACTAACCTTGCATCAATATTGAAGGCTCTTATGTCAATATGATGGAGGGATGATAATTTTTCGGGTATTGTGAGAGGTAAAACATTATACAATCCAGAGTATGGATAATGTATGAGACTGACATTTCATGGTCGCTTTCATTTCCATATCTGAGTTGTAAATGTATTCATCAGTTCTACGTCAGAGTCAGGATAGAGACTCAAGCAGAACGCATTTGGATCACTTCTGGTGAAAATCAGGCCGTGACACAGGAAATCTGTATATAATAGGATTTGGTGTCAGGGCGTTTACTTAAGTATGATTTGACCCTATCAGGATCGGCTTACCACTTGAGAAGACTGGCTCTTGTATAACTATTATTAAATGAGCTTATCAATTGACTTTCGTCTTCAGTGATACATGTCCGTGTGTGGTTTAAGTCTTTTTTTTTTCTCCCTCATCCAGGATGGATATCATTTTCAAATGGCTGATTAAATTTCATGAGAAAATTTGAAAGTGTGTACATATATGATAGCAGCCCAGTGTTAAGTGGACGGAATGTTTAAAATTTCCCTGTCAGTTTAGCCAAAGGTTGTTTAATAATATTAAGGCAAGTCAAATGATATGCGTTATCTTGGCCAAAGTCAGCTATGTTAGAACATAGATATACAAGTATAAATATGTACCGGTGTTGAAAAAATAAATAAAAAATGATTGATTGATTTAGGTCAAGTATAATATATCTTGGTTTCCTGTTACTGTTATGGGCTAAAACAGTAAGGTAAGGATTGCTACATATTTCAAGATTTAAAAAAAAAATTCAAGTGACATGCAACATATATAGCTATCTAGATGTTGAACAGTGCTTTATATTTTAACAACCGAAGTGTCATGCAAAACTTAATACTTAAACTTCAAAACAAAATTTAACTTAAGGGAGGAATAAATATTGTAAGCATAGTGTAAGTTTTGCTTGGCCTAGTAAGGTTTTAAGGGTGTGGTAAGTAGTATACTAGCATGTATATGATTGAAAGAGTGTTAAAAAGTTATTCAATTCTATAATTAAATTCTAATGCATGCTTCTAGAGTTCTATCTAGAATAAGTTCAGTTTCATGAAATGTGACTTGAATATTAATACAAAATGTGTTCTTTTTATAAATATTGAAAAATGTCACATGTCAGAAACTGAAAGATTACTGTATGTTTGTTTACCTTCACTTGAGATAGCCATCTCAAGTCCCTGGGAATCTTCAAGTTTGTAAAAGTAAAATCTAGCATACTGGATGTGAAGATATCTATAAATGTTAATGAATATTTTCTGTGTGATATGGTTACACAGTTGAATATTATGGTTGTGTATTTTTCTATAAGTTAAGTTCACATGTATGTTATGTACTGCATGAAGAAAGTATCACTTTTCACATGTTTAATGCTCGTGCTTAAAATCATCTTTCAGTAATTTCTTTATAATGACATTAATTTTTAAACATTTAGTGATTTTGACTTTGGCAGTTTAAAGTTTAAGAGAGAAAAAAACCAGTGTATTATGTTGAGAATGATATTTTAAATGAAAAAAAATACTGTTTATTATTTAATCCAGATAATGAAGATTTTGTCTAAAAATGAGATAACCATATTAATTCTAATAAAAGCCTAGACAATTTTCAGAACGCATGATAAAAACAAAAGTAGGGGTTGGCAATTATTGGAATCAATGGTAACAACCACACATCATGAAGTTAGGGAATTATTATTATTTTGAAAATCAAACTCTACAAGGCCTTTATTCTTTACATTAAATGATAAACAGGTCCTCTAATGGACTCTGGTTGGGTCTTGTGATAATCCAGCTCCGAACACAATCATCACATCCACTTGTTAATTGATATTTTTGTTTTGTAGTACTGGACACAGCCGGCCAGGAGGAGTTCAGCGCCATGAGGGAACAGTACATGCGAAAAGGTGATGGTTTTCTGCTTGTCTACTCCGTCACTGACCGCCAGAGCTACGAAAACATCGAGAACTTCTACTCTCAAATTCTTCGCGTCAAAGACAGGTATAGTTTATATTTGAAAAATGCACTTTTATGTGTAAGTGAGCACATTACTGGAAGTGTTTGTCCCTCACCTGTCAGTGTATCCTCTGTTCTGGATTCTATTATATCGCCTTCTGTCCTAAAATTGACAATTTTGTACATGGGTACTCATTGATGTGGCTGAGTGTCACATATTGAAATTGGATCATGTCCTCTCTATACAGAGTGATTGCCCTTTGTTGACCTACCTGGGCAGTCGCCATGTACCAGCTGTAGATTGGTGTTTTTTCTCCGGAAACTCCAGCTTCCCTCCACCACCAAAACCTGGCACGTCCTTAAATGACCATAGCTGTTAATTAAGGACGTAAAACACAAACAAACCAAAGCCAAAATTGTTGACCATGTATAACATTGTCCAGACAATATCTCATGTACTCTGTCATCTTCAATTGCCTCATTATGTGCCTAAGAAGTCTGCCTGTTTGGATTGTGGAGTGTCCCATATTGAAATGAGTTGGTTTGTTCCACTCTAAACAGTTATGGCCCTTTGTTAAATCTTTCATTCTTTTTTATTCTCTCCTTGTTTGTATATTTTTGGCCGGATTGCAACACAATCAGGGGTTTCAATCGGGGCTTATAGATTGGCGATTCCCGTCTTGTCTGTCCGTCTGTCTGCACTAAGGTTAAGAAGTATCCAAGTTAATAATTATCCAACATCAACTAAACTTGCATGGCTTTTGTATCTAAGGATGCTTATCACATGCGATGCTTCGGATGCTCCTTCTGACCTACATTTTTTAAACTTCAGTGACCAGGTTAAGAAGCTTGGTTAAGGTCAGTTACTAAGTAACTACTTGGTGTTCGTCAACTAAACTCTCATGGCTAAGTATCTTAAAGGATGCTTATCACATGCGATACTTTACTTGAAAATGTACTGTAGCAACCCAGCCATATCACCATAGGCATTTTGACAGTGGAAAGATATTCTACACCATCCATACCGTACTTGAACTTAAATTGCCAAGATGTCCAATTAAATATAGAGAAAAGTCAATAAATGAATATGAAAATATTTTTCTATTAACGTAAAACAGCAACATTTGGACTTAAATTGATATTATAAAAATTAATGTTTGAATGAATATTCTTAAAAAAATGTGATGATATAAATATTTGATAGGTTCTGTGAACTAGAAACTCTTCATGGTAGATAATACATATGTACTTCAATTACTTATAGATTTTTTATCATCAGTTTCAGAATAAGACATTCAAAACCATGGGATTTGTCAGTACATGCAGGTGTTGAAAAATTTAATTAATAATTAAACAGATAAATGACTGCAGTTGTCTGTACAGGGCATAGTAAACAAAACACTTAATGATATAGACAATATATATCAAGAGTAAAGTACCTGAAGCACGGCCACCAAAGAAAACTGTGATAGAGGTGTATATAAATAAATCAGATAAAAGAGCCATTGATGTCAAGCTTTATGAGGGGCGTACTGAGTGAGCAAGTATTAGCCACCCAAGTCAAGGACTCTCTCAAGACCAGTAAATCAACAGGCTTTTAATCTAATTTCTTACAATTTATTATACCTATTGAACCTTAAGGTTCCCCGTACCACTGTAAAGTGGTAACTACATATTGAAAACTTTTTTTCTTGCACCACTGTAGCTTGGATATATCATTTAAGAGAGAAAAATGCGTTGAAGAGCTTCTATGAAAAAAATATACAGACAAAATATACAAAAATGGATCTACAACATCTAGATTTCTGATTGTGAAAATGCATTGTGGGGCCAGACCAGCATTTGAACCCAGGACCTCTAATAAAAATACTGGTCACTCTAACCAACTGAGCTATCTCAGATCACAGATAGTGCACTGGTCAATGGCACAACAGTTTTTGTCAAAAATAAAATGAAGGGAAAGTAACTAAAGTGAAACCCTTTATAGTGGTTTGCCTGTAGTGGGACAGTGATTCTCAAAAAAAAAATTGCTTTAGGATGTAATTGTTTGAAACATATTTTCATTTTCACTAAGCACTAGTCTGGGACTTTAATTTACAAATAATTTATATGAATAACATTATTAGATGGTATATGTATAAATCTTGAACAATGACAACATCATGTGCCGTTTTCTGACAGATGATGATGTCACAATTTGCAAAACACTGAATGAAATGGCGCCACCATTGTTTGGGAGTGTTAAAAATTGCCTTTTGTCCATGTCAAATTAAATGTTAGCTGTTTGTATAAAAAAATAAAAATAAACAAGAGATGACTAAAGGAACTCACCATTATTCTTTAAAAAATAAATTGAAAAATAGCTTTATGATAATTGTTTGGAGCATATCTTCATTTTCACCAATCACTAGGCTGGGACTTTTATTTACAAATAATTCATGTGAAAAACATTATTTGATGGTATATGTATAAATCTAGAACAATGACGACATCATCATGTGCCGTTTTCTGACAGATGATGATTTGTAAAAATGTGACTTGAAGTGGCGCCACCATTTTTTGGGGGTGTTTAAAATTGCCCTTTGTCCATGTCAAATTAAATGTGAGCTGTTTGTTCATTAAATAAATAAAATAAGTAAGAAATGTTTATGTAGTCACCATTATTCCTGTTAAAATAATTAAAAGACAAAATTTAAATAAACCAGAAATTGCAAAGGACATTCCTTTGCTGTAGGTTTTTGTTTAGAGTCTACAATCTCACTTATATGTGCAAAATATTAACACCATGTCATAATACTTTCTTACACCATTCGAAAGTTTGGTATGAAATTTGTCAGGCAGGTGCTTATGGTAGGACTATTACGGTAGTCATTACCAGGATTAGCTATGATCAAGGTGTTTGTCTTAGGAAGTAAATATTTAATATTTATTGACAGGATATATATTGTTCATATTTTTATGATAGGTCATAAAATTGGTCTATAATATATATGTTCCAGATGTATACCTTGGGTATCGTATTAAACTTAACAAGCACCCTGGTTGTTTAGCTATTTGGGATAGCAGAACCTTCCTGCGAGTCAGCTTATATTACTAAGCATGGGCTTTTGCCGAAAAAATACGGTAATGTGAAGGGAAGGTTGCTCAGACCAAAAAAAGGACTGGGAATACTTAAAGGAATTGGGCTTTTGTTAAGTTGAATATGGTACCTTAGTAAATTGCCATAATTTTATGAAGAATTATTAATCTACTAATTGATTTTTTGCAAGGCTGTTATTTGGAGAAAAAAATCCTTTAAAAAAAAACATCTATTAGGAACTAAATTTCAATGTGTGATCTTTATTATTTATTTTTTAAACAATTATGTATCAAGTTATTTCAACTCCTGTTGTCCCTGGATGGAAGCACAAGGGATAAGAGAGGGGTGTGTGTCTTAATATTGGAGGAAACCAGCATATTTAGGCTGGTGACCAAATACCTTCTCACATCCGATTGGGGAATCAAACCCCAGTTGCCTTGATAAAAGCCGAGTTCGCTGTCCACTCTGCCACCTGGTCACCCATAGCTAAATTTTAGTGCTTGAACACCGTTACTTTGGTTCATCTGTAGACCCCAGGACAAATATATGTGACATCTCTTGCAAAATTTTTTTTTTCATTTACAGTAGCTTCCTCCAACAAATTTTGATATTATATGGATAGGGGTGTCACAATACGCTAAGAGCGGATCACGATAAATTGCAATACGTATCCCAATATATTGTCATAGGAAGGATGTGCTCAATTTTATAATAAGTTGTGGTCAGAATATTATCAAACTTAATCATATATATTATATGGATTACACAGATTTAAGATTTTTGTCAAACCAATCATCAATTACAAAATTTGAACTATTAAAGCTTGTTTTATGCTTATTGGCATATCTGTTAGAATTTGTCGTAACTTGCAAAGTTAAAACACCAAGCAGAAACATAAAAATATGCTTTTGAAAAATATTGCGATACAGCAATATTTCATCTCTGTATTGTGGTACGATACAATACACCCGTATATTGCGATATACCTGTTTTCCGATATATTGTGACAGCCCTAATTATGGGGAGGTTTGCTGATACATTACATCAACATCTAATTGTTCAGCAAGCTTCCTGACAGTGTCTGTGTCAGCTATATGCAAACTTAAGTAAAACAATAGACATTTAAGATGCCTTCAGGCAGTTTTGTATCAAACTTTTTTTCTCCACAAAATTAGATATTGTTGTACAATCTAGCAGTGTGTTTGATGTCGCTGTAGTATACATCAATCTCTGTCAGCTGTCAGCACCTCACTTGTTTTACCTCATTCTGTCGCACTTTCATGGGAATTTTAAAAATAACAAATTGAAATGTCAGCTTTACATTTGAGTTATATTTTTATTTATTTTTAATGTATATAATATGAAACATGCATGTTAATGAATAATATTAGGAAATTCCGTTGGCATTTACTTTGTATGTAATTTACTGTCAATGCCCAATTTACTATTATATGACAAATGACCCATTTTGATAGGTCTTTTTCATTTTGTACACTCATGATAATTATATTAAAAGACATTCAACTATTTTCATCCAAACAGTTTTGTTTCCATGTTCAGTGAAACCATGCTTTTCCAAACAATTGATCTCTGTGTTGCTTGGAACATCGGTAGTCCAGACAACTTGTTTGCAGGGAACTTGGTTTGTCCTGACAGTTTGGTTTCTGTGTACAGAAGAACCGTTCAGGTCTGGACAGTTTGGTTTCTGTGTACAGTAGAACCATTAAGGTCCGGACAGTTAGGTTTCTGTGTACAGTAGAACCGTTCAGGTCTGGACCGTTTGGTTTCTGTGTACAGTAGAACCGGTCAGGTCTGGACCATTTGGTTTCTGTGTACAGTAGAACCATTAAGGTCCGGACAGTTAGGTTTCTGTATACAGAAGAACAGTTCAGGTCTGGACAGTTTGGTTTCTGTGCACAGTAGAACCATTAAGGTCCGGGCAGTTAGGTTTCTGTGTACAGAAGAACTGTTCAGGTCCGGACAGTTTGGTTTCTGTGTACAGGAGAACCGTTCAGGTCCGGACAGTTAGGTTTCTGTGTACAGTAGACCCAGTCAGGTCTGGACCAGTTGGTTTCTGTGTACAGTAGAACCATTAAGGTCCGGACAGTTAGGTTTCTGTGTACAGTAGACCCAGTCAGGTCTGGACCAGTTGGTTTCTGTGTACAGTAGAACCATTAAGGTCCGGACAGTTAGGTTTCTGTATACAGAAGAACAGTTCAGGTCTGGACAGTTTGGTTTCTGTGCACAGTAGAACCATTAAGGTCCGGGCAGTTAGGTTTCTGTGTACAGAAGAACTCTTCAGGTCCGGACAGTTTGGTTTCTGTGTACAGGAGAACCGTTCAGGTCCGGACAGTTAGGTTTCTGTGTACAGTAGACCCAGTCAGGTCTGGACCAGTTGGTTTCTGTGTACAGTAGAACCATTAAGGTCCGGACAGTTAGGTTTCTGTATACAGAAGAACAGTTCAGGTCTGGACAGTTTGGTTTCTGTGCACAGTAGAACCATTAAGGTCCGGGCAGTTAGGTTTCTGTGTACAGAAGATCTGTTCAGGTCCGGACAGTTTGGTTTCTGTGTACAGTAGAACCATTAAGGTCCGGACAGTTAGGTTTCTGTATACAGAAGAACAGTTCAGGTCTGGACAGTTTGGTTTCTGTGCACAGTAGAACCATTAAGGTCCGGGCAGTTAGGTTTCTGTGTACAGAAGATCTGTTCAGGTCCGGACAGTTTGGTTTCTGTGTACAGGAGAACCGTTCAGGTCCGGACAGTTAGGTTTCTGTGTACAGTAGACCCAGTCAGGTCTGGACCAGTTGGTTTCTGTGTACAGTAGAACCATTAAGGTCCGGACAGTTAGGTTTCTGTGTACAGTAGACCCAGTCAGGTCTGGACCAGTTGGTTTCTGTGTACAGTAGAACCATTAAGGTCCGGACAGTTAGGTTTCTGTATACAGAAGAACAGTTCAGGTCTGGACAGTTTGGTTTCTGTGTACAGTAGAACCATTAAGGTCCGGGCAGTTAGGTTTCTGTGTACAGAAGAACTGTTCAGGTCCGGACAGTTTGGTTTCTGTGTACAGAAGAACCGTTCAGGTCCGGACAGTTTGGTTTCTGTGTACAGAAGAAACGTTCAGGTCCAGTCAGTTAGGTTTCTGTGTACAGAAGAACTGTTCAGGTCCGGACAGTTAGGTTTCTGTGTACAGAAGAACAGTTCAGGTCTAGACAGTTTGGTTTCTGTGTACAGTAGAACTGTTCAGGTCTGGACAGTTTGGTTTCTGTGTACAGTAGAACCGTTCAGGTCCTTACAGTTTGGTTTCTGTGTACAGTAGAACCGTTCAGGTCTGGACAGTTGTGTCTGTATACAGTAGAACCTTGTTAGTCCATCCAGATCATAGGATCCTGTGTACAGTGGAATTCTCCTTAGTCCAGACATCATTATTTTTGTGTGTTATCTAAGGGTAACAGTTTTGAATCCAAAGTCATGCATATTTTCCTTTCAGATTTAAAAGTTTGTAAATTCAATCTCACAAATTGGAATTTTCATTTAGCTAATAAAGATTGAGCGCCTGATTGTTTCACCATCTGATATTATTTTGTTTTATTTTCCAGAGATAACTATCCCATGGTACTGGTAGCGAACAAAGTAGACTTGGTGGCTCTGCGTAAAGTGTCAGATGAGCTGGGCAACAATTTAGCTCGACATCTTAGGGTAAGTCTCAAAATAAGGAAAACATTCATCTTGTATACTGATATAATCAGATTAAGATTTTGGTCAAGTTTAGAATAAGTTAAACTTGTGTAGCATAAGATCAAGTTAAGTCTTAAACAGGGTAACAGCATTGTAACCTTTCTTCTTATCCCACAAAGTCTTAAAAACAAGACATAAGCACTTACCTGCCTGGCATGCTAAGGGTGAGTCTGGGCTATATGACAGAGCTCAAAAGCTGAGGTAAGTCTTAGAAAAGGGTAAGGACTTTGCTTGCAAGTTTATGATGAATCTTTAACCCTTTCAACCCTAGATAACTTTAGTAGACTCTACCATACATTCATCTGGATGAGTCTATTATGGTCTACAGTGGTGAAAGGGTTACATAGGCTAGCAACATGTAGTTCGCAACCTTAGGGAGATCGATCGCGAGCACCTTTACTCAGCTACTCTATCAGAAGGTCTTCATAACAAAAGTATCTGGAGAGGATAGGAGTCAGATTGAAGTCTGTGTGGCGGAACATATATAAATCTTCAAAAAAAATTGGTTCACAATGAATTTTTCTTTATATTTAATTCGTAAAATCTGTGGTCATGCAAGCATGCAATGTCGGATAGAAAAAAAAAGATCTGTTACGGCGAAGTCATCATCAAGTGGATGTGCTGCAGTTTAATTGATTGTGTTGCTATTTTTCAGTTACAATACATAGAAACAAGTGCCAAAGGTCCCCCGCTGAACGTTGATAAGGCTTTTCACGAACTTGTACGTGTGATACGAAGACAGCCACAGGATCCCAAGAGAGAACGACGGCACACGGGCAAGAAAAGGAGGTGCACCATACTGTGATAGGACTATATTTGTTACATTGTTTTGTATTATGTTATATAGCAAGTTGTTAAAGTCTGGTAAACTTCATGTTAAAAAGCACAGGAGAACTTCTTGATTTACAGAGTTCATATACTGTATGGGTAATTTTTAAATGAATGAATTCAACAAATTCTTAATTTATGAATTCTAACAATGGCTGTTGTTTGTAGTAGATGAACTATTGTTGTTTTCTACCTGTTGTGTCATATTAGGCTCTTACCAGGGCCGTTTTCGTTAAAACGGTCAAACCGGTCGGACCACTGTTGTTCGTTTATCAGATAAGGTCGGACCTGGTAGTCTGATGCTGTTTTTAGGTGAGCCTGCACAAAGCCTTGCAAGGCCTGCATAAACATTTGCAGGTCCGCCAGGATTATACCCGAAATTGTTACATTTATATAAACAAACAGGTCCTAGGTTTTAATCAGATTTGCCCGGTTAATTCTACTTAATTCTTAATAGAGTTCCCTCCCTTTACTCATGTGAGGGATCTTTGTTTGTTTGTTTGTTTGTTTGTTTGATTTTGTTTAACGTCCTATTAACAGCTAAGGTCATTTAAGGACGGCCTCCCCTGTGTGCAAGATGCATGCGTGTAGTGTATGTGTGTGTATTTTGGGAGGCTGCGATATGTTCGTGTTCGAGGGATCTAAAATAATTGCAAAATTTCCACCAAAAATGAGTTTCAACGACTGTCTTTTTCTGCTGTTGATTCTTGTCTGATTTTACGTGATGTCCTTAGAGTAACGTGTCTGTAAACTCAAAGGTCTGTTTACTGTTCTCAATCAAAATTACAGTATTCACTATTGTGCACGGACAAATGTGAAATTAAATTGTCACAGGGAAGGTTTTGTGTAACCAAGTGCACTAGATGATACAGATTACCATGGTTACCATTCAAGAACTGTCAAATTTAGAAGAATTAAAATTCTGTTGATTGTAGGGAAAAGTGATAGGAAAAGTTATTTTTTGTTTTTTTCCTGTTTTTTGCACAAGAACTTCAAAATTACTTTTTCTTGCAAAAGATGTTATTTTAATGAGTGTGAGAACCCCTTGATTGCAGTTGACCTTAGAAAGTTAATTAAATGTTTTATAATCATATGCAGATAGACATTCCTCAATTTTGTAGCAGGATTTTTGTTTTAATTTAATGCTATTGTAATAAATGTAATTAAGTGATTTTTCGAACTATTTGTGATACTTGATGTGCTAGTTTTGTTTGTTTGTTTTTTGAAAAAAATGGCCATTTGAGAAGAAATATGTACACAGCTGTATACTTGATAAGTCAATATGATTTACAAACTAAAAAAACATCAGTTCTGGATAATGTTATTACGTTCGGTAAATTTGCGTTCTTTAAATATCTTGACCGTTTTTCTCCTGTGGAGAAATTATTTTTTATTCTTTTCTTCCCCCAAATGTAATTTAAACTTAACCACAAATTTAAAAGGTCTGGAATAGGAATAATAAAGGGGATCAAAAATGAATAACTAAATGCAAGAATTTTTACATTTTTATGCTATATGCATGTATGCCAAAAAATACAAACCAGTCTAAAAATAAACCGCCAATCAAAACTTGGATAGGTTCTTTTTACATCATAACTGGATTTTATATTATATGAAGCGAAATGTTTTGTCACTGTAGATTTGTTCATTATTTAAGTCATTTGATTAAGATTGTTTGTTTATTACAACTATGGTACAGATTGCATTAGGAGTTGTATCATATTCAGGCTAAGTGACATGTGTGGGAGCATTGCTTGAATATCTTGGTGAGTTATTAGTAATAACATGAAGGCCAGATTCGTATAAGAATGTCTATTAGTTATAACATGAAGGCCAGATTTGTATAAGAATGTCTATTAGTTATAACATGAAGGGCAGATTCGTATAAGAATGTCTATTAGTTATAACATGAAGGGCAGATTCGTATAAGAACATTTGTTAAGAGATAATGTAGTGCTGTGACCTGATACACGGGTAGACTGTGAATTCCTGATCTCACGTTTCTTGTTATGTACCGTAAATACAAGTATCATAATGTGCTCATGACGAAATGATTGTATGAAATGACTAATACTCTGTAACCTGAAATATTTGTGAGATTTATGTGTAGAAATTATTTTCTGGATTACTTTGGTAATGAAGTTCAATTTTACCAAGCGAACATTTCATGTTCTGCAGAAGTGGAATAATTCTGATTTGATCATTATATTAATGATAGTAAAAGGATCATGATGAAAAGATTATCATCTCGTCTCCTCTATGAATGAAGGAAGACATATTGTATTGGCACTAGTTCTTCTGGTTCTAAATCTTCTGATATAATCTTGTATGGGTAGTGTCATTTAAATTATAAATGATATACTGATGAAATATACCTGCATCACCACATGAGGTGGTCAGTGAACTGTATTTCGGTCACTGTGACCTCAAGGTCAAAGGTTACATAAATGAAAAACAATTAGTGAAATCTTGTTTGAGCTGTAAATTTGAGTTATTGAATAGATTCTTATGAAAATGAACAATTATTAAGATTTGAATCTGATTTGTCTCTCACAAATATGCAATATATCGAGGTCACCACCAGGTGTCATACACCTCTAGGTCAAAGGTCAAAGAATTTGTTCACAAAAACAAATCTTGTTTAAAGTTATGTTAGAAATTAATTATCATGATGAGAGAGTTGATTCGTTGTTGTTGTATCATACTTTGTTATATATTGTTGAAATTTTATGATTGTTTCATTTATTGAAAATAGATTTAATGACGATACAAGAGGCTTTTGTGTGAGTGAGTGTGTATGAGTTTAGTAGCGCTTACAAGTAAAATGCCATATGTGTATTTTATGTATAGAATAAGTAATTATTTTAATAAAATGCTAGACATGCTGGAGAGAATTATAAATCAAATGTTGAAAGTGACGATGAAATTAAATATTATTATGAAAACCTGTAAGATTCTCTATGTGATGTTAGTTTGTAACGATATACATACTGCTAAAAACAATAACGAGTGATTGAGTTATCTCCCTTGGTTGAGTTATCTCCCTTGCTTTATTTGCCAAGGCTACATTCGCGTATCTGGTTGAAATGGTTGAACCTGTAAAGAAAACGACAGGTACAGATTTGGACCGAGGCTGACCTCAGGAAAATTTGGTACGTGTAGATTGAGGGGTCCAGACGTAACTGACCGAAACTAAAATGCTGACTATTGTCAATTTGTGTTATTTCTTTCTTAAACAATGTCAAGTCACATGTAGTTTTTAAGATACGTTATGTAATTAAGTGGACGTATGGAAGGAGGGCATGTTTTTCTTGATATATTGTTTTTAATTCTCCGAAACAACGGTCCAAGTGCCTTCGTTTATCGTGGAAAATTTCTGCGCCACACGAATGTTCAACCGGTATACGCGAATGTAGCCCAACTAGTCTTAAATTTTGCATTCAGTGATCTTCTATCAATCTGCTCAAATGCCTGAAAAAAATATATATAAATAGTTGAAGATCCTGTTCTCTTCCAACCTTCAAGGAATGAATGAAAATTATTTTGTTTCTAAAACTTGATACCAAATTTAGACTGCAGACTAGAGAGCTAGTTTGAATTGTAACAGTTTTTTGTATTATTTTTATAAATATCTAGGTCCCACAATGTACTGTATTATTCTTTGAGCTCATCTATATTAGATTTTAAATTATTATTGTTTTTAATTCCCTTCCTATGTGTATGATACTTTTATGCTTTTACAGATAATTTCTTACTTTATATCGTTGCTTTTACATCTATTTACATTATTAGACTGTGTAACGTAATATTTACGCCATCATTCCAAATCATTTTAGTTCCATGCTCTGATACATACTTTTAGCTGATATGCTCAATGTCATTTGTTTTTTATGGTTCAGTTGTTTGATATGTGAATTTTACAGAGGGAATAATCATTATAATATAGATCCGATTCAAATCAAATCCATCACTTCATTCCTCTGCATTCTATAGAGACCATTCACCCAATAAATCTGATGCTAAATATATTTCCAGTGAAACCTGTAAAAATAATCCACCCCGGGAAGCCAAAAAAGTACTGTTACCTATGAATATAAGCTCGGCTTACAATAAAATCAATAAATATGAAGCATTATAGGTGGTTGCATTAGCTAGTTTGACTGCATGCATGTTTCCCAATATCAAGAATTTTGATTATGTTTTGCTGGGTGGCCGAAGATGAAGATCACTTGAGGCTACCTAGTCTAGTGGTAGGACGCTGGGCTTGTGACCGAAGGGTTGCAGGTTCGAGTCACGTCATGGCACTGTGTTGTATCTTAGAGCAAGATGCTTTACTCCGCTTGTTCCAGTCTACTCAGCTGTAAATAAGTACGTGGTTGGGCAGTGCTAGAATTGTTGAGTGCTAGGCTAGCTGTGAGCGCCGAAATGGCAGCACTGGCTGTATGCTCCCCGGGGAGTTGAGAAATGTATTGGCTAGTTGCAAAGGCCCTATAACCACGGATAATAATTTGTGAACAGCTTTGAGATGACCTACGAACTAAGTTGTGATAAAGCGGTATATAAGAACCTCAAATTATTATTATTATTATTGAATGGCAACATAATCCCTGGTGCAGTGCTGTCTGATACTACACTTAAGTGTATTGTCGAGGAACACAACGAAGGATTTATTTTGAATCTGATAAGGAGTATTGTAGAGAGATAACAAATCCTATGATAGATGATGTATAATGCTATTTCTCCTGTTACTTTTTGATTTCATACCCTCAGCCCATTAAATAGCTAAAAAGTGTTGACCCTATAATATAGATATCACATTCATTATATATAGTGTCTAGCGTTGTCGGAGAATATTCCATGGATAGAACCAAGCTAGGTAGGCCTTGAGCAAATGTAGTACGTATCTACTTCATTGTACGGTCGACAAGTATTTCAACATGTCATGTACAAATTGCAGTAGTATTTTTTCTCTCATCTGAATTTTTTGTTTACAATAAGTAAAATACCAACAAAATGTCAAAGGAAAGTATAAAACAGAAATGGCAGATATGACAGACCTTTTTATCAATGATAATGTTGAATTTCCATTGACGCCATGTTAAATATGAAGGTGATAGGAATTGGAAAATTTGTCTCGGCCAATCAGATTTCAGAATTTTCATGTAAGAATAACAAAAATATTTTGATTTACCTCATATGCTACCATGTCATTGCTATACGGGTCATAGACGAAAAAGTGTGGTTTTGAAGTGGTAGTTCTTTCATTCAATTGAATATAAATCGTAAAAACCCTATATTTCTTGCACACCAGTGAATACATAATCTTCTAAAATGCACATGTTAAATTATATAAACCCTTGCTGTTGAGACAAAACAAAAATGTGTTCCTTTTCGATAGCATGAGCTCCTTTGAAATGCATTTTGTATGTAATGATGAGTTAACTATACTGTATTATCAAAGGCGAAATATCGTGTCTGTCTTGTGCGA